AAAATAAATAAATATTACATATATTTTTATTTAAAATAAAGTGAGGTAGATTTTGGGTTATTGGAAATGGAGACTTAATGAGCAAATTACTTGGTATCAACAAAGCCACAAGTTTTGATTTTAATTTTAAAATTTTTTTTAACTTTTATATTTTTATATTTTGAGGATTTTTTAAATAATTTTTTAAAGTTTAAATTTATCTAAAGAAAATTTCAATTTAAATTATTGAAAAAAAAAAAGAAGAAGTAAATCTGAGGAGAGAGAAGATGAATGAAAGAAAAAGAAGTAGATGAGGATTCTTTAGTAACTTTGCAGTTTAAATTGACCACATCACCTACCCAATGCCATATCAGCACCAAGCCATTTGTTGGTAAGGGAGTAACAAGGATGTGGACGGAAAGATGACATTTGATGAGGTCATCGTCAGCAGAAGGGCTGATTTGCGGGTTTTGTCAAGTGGAGGGGCTGATTTGCTCTACTTTTAGGTAGAGAGGCTGATGTGCCACAACAATGGACGTAGAGGGGCTGAATTGCACCTTCTGCCTTTGCACCTTATCCTCATCTTTCGTTCACAAGAGGTTACACCATATTGCCATACCTCATTACGTTTAAGAAAACAAATCTTTTCCTCATAAAAAAATAAAAATAAAAATAAAAATAAAAAAAGGGGAAAACAAATCTGAGATACGACTGAGCACTTGTTGATATCATTTCCAGTATTCACTCTTACACTGGTCAACGAAAAACTGAGTGCATTATTACCAACACGAAGAACTTTTTTTTTTTTTTTTGAAAATCAACAGGAAGAACTTAGTACATAACAATCTCATCAACTGAAAGTTGGGTTCAATAAAAATTCATTGCAAATGTCCGGCTATACTCGTGAGTCTGGAAGGCAGGATGAGGACCCCCACAATAATAGCTGCCATAGAGTCTAATAACTTCCAAACAGAATTTCAATTATTGTTGTTACTATTAATACCAGACGCTCCTGAGTATGACCACAGAAATAGTGTATGGACTCGCAAAATCTTACCACCACAATGCACGGGGAAAAATCTTATTTTTAGTATTTTACTTTAATAAGTTAATAAATTTTATTCTTTTACCTCGTAATTTAATATTTTTAATCCTGACCTATTCAAATTAAAAAAGCAACGTCAAGTTATGACATCCATGATGTAGAACATTTTGTTATCTCTGTCCCTATCACTGTCACTTAATCTAATTTGTGCCAACTTGACTTCTCAAGGGCGGTAGATTTCCTGCTTATCTTTAAATAGGTCCCAACTCTCGGAATAGAATTAAATAAAAAATAAGGGATATAAGAATAGTTTTTTTATATTATTTTTTATATAAATTTTATATATTATTAAACAAATTCAAACACTTAATATTATAAGTTTTAAATAAATAAAAAAATTATTTATTTAAATGATATGTAAAATTATTTCAAAAAATAATAAAAAAACTATTCCTAAATTATTTTTTAATTATTTTTTTAATTGTCTTTATAGACATCAATCTATAACACATAACATGTCATATGTCCTAATTAAGCCATATTAAGACATTAAGATGGATATTTGTAGATATTTAGATGTTATTTTAATATGTATGACTTGATTAGGACATATAAATTGAATTTTTAGGTTATTTTAACCTTTTTTTATTAAATGATTTACAACTTGAAAGCAAAAATTTAAACCTCAATCTTAAAATTAGGAGACGTGCCTTACTATGAATATAGGCCGTCGAACCACGAGGCTCGGGTGCATTTTAACATGTTATTTTAAAATGTTATCAAGGAGAAGAACAGTGGAGACAAAGGTGGAGTGAGCTGCACTAGTTTTTTAATAACACGGAAAATCGTGACGCTCTCTCTTAATTATTTTTCTCAATTTTAATTACCTCATTCGTTGCTGATTAATATTAGCTCATGAATTGAATTTTTGCTCCTAATCTTAAATTTAAATTTTGAGTTTTTTAGTTAAACTTTTGTTTAAATTAAGAATGGCTACTTTTTTGAATTAAGATGGATATGTGCAGTCATTTAGATCTTATTTTAAGATGTATGGTTTAATTAGGATATATGACATGTTATATATGTTATAATAAGTTGATGTTATAAAGACAGTCAATAAAAAAATAATTTATAAATAGTTTTTTATTATTTTTTCAAATAATTTTATTTATCATTTAACTAATTAATTTTATTTATTTATTTAGAGCATATGATATTAAATGCGTTTACTTATTTAATAATATAAAGAAGTATTAAAATTAATATAAAAAATTATCCTTATATCATTGCTTTTTATTTAATTCTATTCCAACAGTAGAGACTCGCTTAAAGATAAGCGAGAAATCTCTCATATTTGAGAAGTCATGCTGGCCGAGTTAGCACAAATTAGCTTAAACGACAGTGATAGAGACAAAGGTAACGAAATATAAGCGGTTATGTCACAGGCATTATAATTTAATGTTAATTTTGGGTTATTTTCTTTAATTTAAATAGATAAAGCACTAAAAATGTCAATATATAAGATAAGGAATTAAAACCTACCATTTTTGCCAATGCCCAGACCACATTAACAGGATACATTTTCATTTTTCACATCATGAAGAATTTCAGTATTATTATTTCTCATACCATATCCAAGAAAACCGTCATTAACAAAGGAGAAACTGGAGTTGAGGGTTTCAGAAGCTTACAGATCAAACATAAGATACACCAATAACAGAAACCCATGTTCTTAAAAAAAATTCATCAGCACTATATTGCCATAAAATTCCTGGTGAAAATGCCTTAGAGCGGTGTAACCAGATACACCATTTCCTTGATATGACCACAAATGGTGTTCTGCTCCACAGATCAAGACATAGTGTACAACTAAGAAATCAACAAAATCAAACAAATAAAAAGACTTGTATACGAAAAGGAGTTCTCCAAGGAGAACTATTGACAACATCTTGATAGAATTTAAGACAAAGTTGAGATTTTCCCTATTTTTGGGCTCCCTGGAAGAGGAAAAGAAAAGGGAAAGGAAAAACTACATATACGTACATATAAGCAAGTTTTGCATTTGCATCATGGTTCCAGCTTCAAGGAAACAACTCGTGACTGTCTGTTGCGTTTTGCTACCTTGACAAAGAGTACTGAGAGGCAAGAAGGAGCCCACCATGGCCTGCGAACTTTTTGCTCTCCTTTTAAGCAAGCAACTAAAGAAAATGCAGTTTGTGTCAGTTACTACCATACCAATCTAGATTACAATCTGCATAAAAGGACTACAGTACTATCTACTCAACATCCAGTTCAAATAGGAGCTCATCTGATTTGACTAGCAGAAAAAATTGAAAAGAGGGGTCAATAATAATGCTGTTAAGATTAAAGGCAAGTAAAACAAGGGCTTGGTCAGCACTTTTTGCTATCCTTTTAGGCAAGCAACCATAGAAAAGGCATTCAAAGGATGCATGCAAGAGCATAATTATTTCTTGCTGGGCAGTATCATTAAACCACTTGGAGAATCAGATACACAAACCATGTACAATCAGCTAATCAACCACATCTGGGGAACATTTTTCTGATTACCATCTAAAAAAGAAAAGATGCAACTTAACTTGGTATCTCGAGTTGTGTTAAGATGAAGTGAGGAACAATTATCCTGTTTTTGGTCATCTTTCAAACGTAAATAACTTGCTAGTGAAATGTCACTCTTAAGAGTAATTCTAGTGAAGACATACACCAACAGAAACAAATGTCTCTTGCTATTTAGATTCTGTGGACTCAATCAAGCAAATTCATTTAAGCACTTAAGTCACTTCTTCTTTTTCAGAGGAGAGAGAGAGAGACCTTTTATTCGTCTGAGTTCCTTGCATAGTGTGATGAAATCACCCCACTTCATATGGCATCGCCTTATAAACCGAAGAATCTGTTCAGTTGTGAACATAGACATGCCTTCCAGGTATTCTCCATTGACACCATTTTCTTTGAAAATCTGGCGATAGCCACCTAAATTTATCTCTTCCAACCACATACCAACATCCTGCCAAAAAAGGAAAGGCAGGGATGTAAATACATGCCATTTAATCAAATTACTTGAAGTAAAGAAATTACCACCTAAAAGCCCAAAAGGGAAAACTCTTCAACAGAGTAACAAAGCAGAAAAAAGCATCTAGATAAAGAATTTCCTTTTCAAAATTACACTGACACTGCTTGATTGATTCATCAAGGTAACCAATGTGTCCCTTGACAAAGATATAGAATTGCCACAGTCCAGACATATTTAATTATTACAAAGATGAATCATTGGAATGGAAACAAAAATAATGAAGATGAGAATAGGATATGCATGTTATATGTTCCATGGACTCAAAATCAAGGCTACATGTTTGACACAGTAACACAGGTATTATAATTTTTTGACACATTTTTCCTTTTTGGAAGGATTCAAGTCACGTCCACACAGATTTGAAGTAAACAATCATTTCCTACAAACCCATCTTCAATGTTACACATTAACAATGCTTGTTACATAGCATGGAGCAAAGGTCAGAAATTCAAACCTCCATAACAGCTAAGAACTAACTTCTTTGCCAATCAAAAACAAGAAGTAATGTTGCTACTTTCTTCTTTCTAGTTCATCAAAAAGGTAAGATTAAGGTCATTCTTAGGAAGGCAATCATAAACCAAATGTTAATATAACTCCAGTAAGAATGATAGTTAGATTTATTTGACTAAAGCTGACTTTCTCTGACCTAATATGAAAATTGTTCTGTTCAAAAGCAAATGTTTGACACAAGCATGAAGGAGAAAGTGAGGATAACAGAAGTTACTCCACACGTACATGGAGTAGCTAGCGAGTAAAAAATGCAGGCATTCCATGTATCCATGGTTAATGGATAACTTATTTTGGTCTATCCTCACGTTTATAAGTCACATTTATATTTAGATAAACTCAATCTTAAAGCATTGTGTTAAATACCACTATCTTGTGTTTCTGGGAAACCAAGAATATTTCTTTGTGATTGGAATCTTTATTGGACTCAACATAAATTAACAAAAATATAAAAAAGAAGAATATAGTGAGTGACAAAAAAAGTAACCTAGCTTACCTCAGAAACCAACAACATCAGCTGGCTCAGGCTTACCTTCTATTTTCTGTCACCATAATATCTCAAGACCAGTAAAGAGATTCTCCTTCTAACAGCCATTTCTACGTTAAAAGGACAATTTCAACTTCAATCAAACACAGCATTGGCCAAAACTATCAAAGACCTACAACCATGCAATTTTTCTTCTCCCTTCTATCATTATTCTGTTAAAAAATGACTTTTTGCAGGTTTTTGTCAATTAGTAGTCTTAACACAGTCAACTGTGCTTGATATGAGCAGTAATAGAAGTGATACTTCAACATAACATATCCACTTTTCAAGAAGATTGGCATGGGACGCCTGTAACTCTACAAGCACATAACTACATAGATACAAACATATCCGTTATTGTTCTCAACTGGACAATCACAGAAGTTAAAACCATCTCCATCCAAACAACATATATCTGCACCTTCATAAGCCCAACATTTAGTATACACTCGTGTGATTAGAAGCAAGTTTTGAATGGATGGAAAGGCAAAATAGTGAGAAGCAAATTAAGTTACATGTTTCTATCTCCAACTTTAAGCTCCAAAAGCATGCACCGCACAAGTAGAAAATTACAAAATTGTATTCATAAATCTAACCATAGCTTTAGAAATCATTTACATATTGATAATATGAAGGATGAAATAATCAACTAGTAGTACGTGGCATGAAGACGGTAAAAAACTAATAAAATGCTTCCCCAAGGAGGTTGAGAAAGTTAAAAGCTAAAATGAAAACCAAAACGTGCATTTTAACAAAACAAATGAGGGCAGACCAGAAAACATGAACTTCCAACCATCACAAGGCAGTCATCCATCAGAACAAGCGTGATAAACTAGTGATCTCATTGCTACGTGTCAAGAAAAGGAAACTTAAACCATATGCTTCTTGGCCAAAGAGAACCACTAAATCCTAATCTAAAAATCAAGACCTTCTTTGCGCATATAATTCATCAAAACCAGTAGAATTTTCTATTAATTGGTAAATTTATTCAGTTTGCTTTAACAAATGCAAAACCTCCCCCAATTTAATTACTCCATAATAATAACAAATTTGAAGAAAAAGGTATAAATTCAATCTATTTTACGAAATAGAAAAAAGAAAGCTTAAATTCGGATAAAAAATAACATACAATTATAAAATTAATCATTGGCCTTCCAAGTAGAATTACGAAAAAATTTATCAAAAAAAACCTCGATCTAGGAATCAATAACAAAGTAACAAACAAAATCAAGATCTACATCTACTTTCACTAAAGAAAGATCCAAGGAAAATTGAAACAAAAAAAAAAAAATCGAGGAAAATAATTACCTCAACAGTCCAAATGAAGAAATCGAGAGGCTCCGGCGGGTGTTCTTTGGTCATCTCTTTTAAATCAACCAAAAACTCCAAAAAATCACCTAAAATTCATCACTGATTCGCATCAAATTACCACCGCCAAAACAAAATTTTCAAAACAATATCGAATTAAAAAGAAAAAGAAATTAAAATTCCGTTTGATTCCCAGGAAAACGAAAGAGCAGATGAAACTGGAAAAGAAAACAGGACGAGGAGAGAGTGACAGTTGTTGAGATCTCAATCCTCCTTTACCCCTCTTATTTTATTTTCTCGGGAACCAAACGCAGAGTGAGAGAGAGAAGTCATACCGTGAAGTGTGTGGATTTTCTACAGTTGAGATTGGGGATGAAAATTGAGTGAGAGAAAAGGTGATAGGCAATTGAGTTATACGCGCAGTTTCAGTTTGGGCGTGTCTTTGTGTTTTCTGTTTTAATGTCTTTTCAGCTTTCAGCCCAGAATTGTATGGCATTATATTTCTCTTAATTCAACCAGAAAAAATATAATTCTCATGTCTTTTTGTTAAATTTGATCCATTTAATCAGTTTTTTTTTCGATTTGTGTTCTAACACACTATTAAAAGTATTTTTTAAATATTAATTAATATTAAAAAAATAAAAATTAAATTTTATTTAATTAATTGTTTAGCTAAAGCAAACGACATAATATTGGAAATGAAATTAATACAAATTAATATAATATTAAAAAGTTTATCAATACACCACCAACCGGTATAGTTTAACCAGGGAAAATAATGGTGTTACTCGTTGTCCATTTTGCCTGTAACATGAGTACTTTTTATAAAGAGTTGCTTGATTTATTTGTTAATTTCAAGTTTTAATATAGCATTAAAGTTTGTTTTTTTAATTTTATCTCAATTACTAATGAGTTTGTCTAATTTATACTATAAATGAATATGTTAAAGGTATAATAATTACATTTATATTTAGTTTCTATAAAAACTCAAAAAAATGATTATTTTTATTATTAATGTCATATGTATATTTTTAATTAGAATATTAATAAAATTAAATTTATTTTTTAATTTTTCAATAAAATCTAATTAAAAATACATTAAATGCATTAGAATTTCTCATTAATAATTATGTTTTTTAAAGAGTTTTTTTAAAATACAAGTTATGAATGTAATCAATACATCTTTTAGCTATCGAGTCATATAAAAAAGGAGATAAGTTGATTTTAGTTTTAATAGAAATATCATGTGTATATATTTAATTATTAATTATTAAAATTAAAGTAAAACTTTATTTTTTCATGCAACTTAATGAATAAAAAGTGTGTCAACTATATTTTTAACATGTGACCTATTCCTTTTTTAAAAAACAAATCTCAAGTTCTCAACTACCTTTGTTAATATTTACCAAAAAAAAAAAAAAAAAAAAACCCCTTGAACAAGGAGTAAGGTTTCACTGGGCAACACTTTTCACTACATTAATTTTTTATTTTTATATTTTTTATTATATAAAATATTAATTAAAATAAATATTAAATATATTTTATATATTTTTAAGATATTAAAATTAAGTCTAAATATCAAATTTTAATTAGTAATTAAATATGTTTATTTAGATATTTGTACTTTTCTTTGTAATCAAGACAAATAAAAAATGTAATGAAGTATTCCTCAAAAAAAAAAATGTAATGAAGTAAACTCATAAAAAAAGGTGACAAGTAAAATAGACCACATATAATATATTGATAACTTTGATGTAAAATTTTTGTTTTTATATTATTTATGGTGAGAGTATTATTAGATTAATTTTTATGTATTTTAAAATTAATATCTTTACTAATGATCCTAAAAGTGCATCCTACACATCTACAATCAATCAGCAATTTTTTATACATTTTGTGATTTAATTAGTTGGAAAGCTTCAACGAAAAGTTGTAACTAAAAGTATCCTTAAATCATAATCAACACAATTTTTTATTCGTTTTGTATCTGCCAGGTTGACTGTTCAATTTAATATTTTATTTGCAAAATTTTTTATTTTATAATTTAAATTATATTATATTACAAAATATAAATCACTAGATAAGAAACAAATTTTAAGACTCACCTTATATAATGTTAAGTGTTACATAATTTAATATAGTATGAGTTACACAAAATTCTTTTATTTATTATATATTATATGCATTAAATTTCAAAGTAACCTGATACATGTAATTATACAAATGATGAAAGTGCATTTTTTTTATTTATACATTTACATTTTAAAATTACAAGTTAGTGCTATCAATCTCGACTTTTAAAAAAATTAAAATTTATATTTATATTTAAAAATTCACATTTTACATTAAAATTTAAAAATTCACTTTGTTAAATATTGATACCTAAATTTAAAAATTGATTATATATTCTAATATAAATTTTCAAATCTAAATATTAACAATTAATAAAATAGATTTTTAAATTTTGAATTGGGTTTTAATTAAATAAAATGACGTAATTTAAGTTTAAAACTCTAATTTATTTTGAGACCCTAAACTAATATACACTCTTCTCTTAAAATTATGTGTTATTATAGAATAACTAAATACATCCAATCTATATCTATATATATAAATAAAATGCTACCCTATGCATTAAATAGGGTATGCATTTATATATATAAATAAATAATTATTATATATATAATATAAGTAACTAAAAAAATTAATCATTTGGTAGATGAAGAGGCAAGACCATCACCAATTAATTTTTCAATAGAAGATAATTTAGATTGATATTATAGTATGATAAATATTAATTATTAATATTTAAAAGATAATAATATATAATATACAGTAACTAAAAAGATTAATCCTTTAGTAAATGAAGAGACAAGATCATGGCCAAATAATTTCTTAGTGAAAGACAATTTAGATAAATATTATAGGGTATGTAAAATATACATATACAAAATCTATACCCAATTTCATTAAATAGAGCATGCATTTATATAAAATATTATATTATATTAATTTAAAATGTTGAAACAAAATATGCAAAATATAAAAATTATAAATTATAAATAAATGAAAAA